CGCGCTGTGCTCTGGTTTGTGTCTTGCGGTTGGATTCGGGCCCTCGTGTCGTCTCGGTTCAAGACAGAGGAGACTCGGCCCCTTAAGGCTGTCAGCGTAGGACGTTACTGCAAGCAGGCGAAGTTCTTGCAACGATTCCTGAGCAGAACTGCATTGTTTGTATCGAGGTGACGGTCATGAAACACTAAGGTTAACTTAGATGAAAGTCAGGTTTTAGGCTTTTACGCTGGAAATAAATGCAGCGAGTCTGTAAGCAGGTCTCCTTAACTACAGCTGTCCCCAGCCCTCAGAAACTAGCCTTGGCCAGTGAAGAGAGCCTCACAGCCTGTAGCCGTTCCAGTCCGGGGCGAACCGGATAGCCCAGCGCAGAGGCCTCAGGCCTGGGGCGGGCAGAGGCACGGGGCTTTCACTGGAACTGTAAATGGGCCACGTCGCACAGAGAGTAAACTCAGGGGTGACGCAGAGCTCTGGTGACAGGAGGCACGTCAGGGTGCTCGCCCCACTCTGCTGCAGCGCGAGATGAGCTGAGACAGCTGCTCCTGCGCCGAGCAGCCTGCAGGCTCCCTCCCGCTCCCCCGTCTACAGCCGACGGGGCTGGAAAACGCGGAGGTTTGAAACGCGGAGCTCAGGAAGCAGCGGTCTGAAACGGGAGGGGGGGGGGAGGAGGAGATCCGAACACGACAGAAAGCGCCGCGTTACGGAACGAAACGAGACTTCATGATCAACACCAGCAATTTAAATAACACCCCTATAAAACGAGATGATTAGCACCAGCAAGCCAATTACCGCGGGCTAATGTATCCGGCTGTAAAGTAGAAGAGGGCCCAAGGGGCTGCTTGATGTGAAGCCCCTCCTCTGCGCCTGAGGTTAGACGATACTCGGGGGGAACAGGCAGAGGCAGGAGCTCCTCCGCCACGACCCTGCTGGTTTCAACCAGAGACAAGCGTGACGCAGGGTTCGAGGCCTTCCTCCCCTCCTCGTACCCTCACTACAGCCGCCTCGCGCGCCATGTGGCCCTGCTGTTTCATCTTCACGCGGTCCTTCGAGAGGCGGATCCTGTCAGTTTCGCCGCCGGGAGACGTTTTGGAGATTCCGCACCCCACTTCCTCACTTCCACACGAGCACGCGGTCTCCCTGCTGCTTCCCCGTGGCTTCGCGAGCGGCCGTCGACGAATAACCCACCGCTAAACAGAATCGAACAGCGCAATCCAGTCAAATCAACGAAACACTACGAAACAAAAAGCAACGAAAAGGAATGTGAATGAACAAACAACCCAAGACCAGGATCTCAGACAGAATTCCCTGAGGGATCAGTCTTCTCTGGTTTCTCCCACGTTCTCAATTAATGAACTAATTAATTAATTAACTCTGAGGTGTTTCATCAGCAAGCACACCTTCAACAAAGTAAAATCCTATATATAAAATCCTACACAAAGAAAATAATTGAGTTAATTGCTTAAATGATTGCTCTGTGGAACAAAAACCACAGGACAGCAGCCCGATACCCCTGCTCAAGAAATGAGTTCAAAAGAAGTCACTTAAACATGTCGTGGGACTTTCGTGGAAAAGGGAATTTTTTTGGTCTTTTAACATTATTCTGCATTTCCTTGCAACATGTAAGGATTTTAAAAATTTGTTTACATATTTTTTTCAACCCTCCGTTTAAAATAGAAATTTAAAAAAGAAGTGAGCCCAAATGACTGTCTCCCTCCCTGACTGTTTTTCCAGCTGTTGAACTGGATCTTGTTTGTTTGGATTCACTGGAAATATGCCTCTCTCCAGGTCTTCCCTCCAGTATTTCATCTCCGTCGTCTGATTAACGGGATCGATGTGCCAAACAGTCCTCAGGCCTGATCTCCACAGACCGTCGCCGGATGGAACACGGTGAAATAGCATTTGTCTCACTCTGCTGAAGCTGTGAATTCATACAGACGAAATGCTGTTTGCCCACACCAGATTTCTCCTCAACGCACCCTGACATCAGTGTTGGATGAGGCTGCAGATGCCACAAAATGTTAATTCTTTATCTCTGTGACCATTTCGTTAAACAGCCTGCGACAGCAACATGTCAGTGTTTTCTGTCCCTATTTACACAGCTGCCTTCATCGATCCTAATCTGCAAATTCACACATTATTTTGCTCAGCACTCAGCAGATTATCAAGGTCATGTAATTGCACAGAAAACATTTAGGGCAGCTGTCAAGCAGGATGTGAGAAAGATACACCCAGACTCGGTGACATGTCTCTCCTGCTTTCCTTCTTTTGCACATCCTCATGCGTCTGAAAACGGTCTCATAGAGGCAGGATACCACCTTCGCAGAGACAGCAAAAACATCGCCATTTGTTCCGAAAGACAGAGCAGGTAAAGTATTCGGAAGAACGATTATTATGGGCCACAGCAGAGGCAGGTCTAAATGTTAGGATTGGGTTCGTTACGAATACTGATGTACCAGCTAGGAAAAACAGATGTTACAGGTTGTGAGTGTTATTTTATAGCCAGCTTTGTGAATGTACTACTGTATCTTAACTGCATTAGACAAATGAGGACTAAGAAAAAAACATGACATTGTAACGTAGACACAGGAGTCAGTCTGCAACTTAATTGCCACTGGAGAGCTATGGGAGACCTGTCTGTGAGCAAACTGGTGAGAATCGTCTTGTGTTTAAAGACATCTCCTGCTGGGGTTAGTACTGCTTACATGCCTATGAGTTGTC